GCCCTGCCTGGGGCTGGAGCCCTTGGGGCTCCCTGCCTCTGGGAGCAGGATGTCTGGTTAATTAAGTAATTGTGGGAGGAAGGGTCCAGTTGTAGGGAGGTGGCCGTTGGCCAGGCAGGGAGGCCCTGTGGGAGGGGAGAGGCTGAAGGCATCAGGAGGCTGAAACAGGGACAGTCGGGTAGGTAGGCAGGGGGCATCTGAGGCCCCTGAGCTCCCCATCTCCAGACCAGAACACATAGGGCTGTCTTTGGCAGGACACCAGCCCAGAGGTGTCTCAGGTATAAGGACTCTACCCGGGAGATCCTTGCCTGTCTCCAGAGGAGGTCGTGGCTCAGGGAAGAGGGGTCTGGGTTCCCCAAAGCCTGGCCTTGGGGTTTCTGGGTTCCCTGCTCCTGTGGGGGGAGAATCCTGGTGAGAGTTCCGGGTCCCCAGCTCCAGGGGCCACCACTCACCGGGGATCATCGCTGTACTGCACGGCAGCGAAACGCACGCCCTGTGCGCTGGCTGCCCCCGAGAAGGGCAGCACCAGTCCCTCCAGGAAACCTCGCACTTCACGGAAGTTGCCTCGGCCGATGGACGAAGAACCGTCGAGCAGGAACACGATGTCGGCGGCGTAAAGGCGTGTGCAGGTCACTAAGGGCAGGGAGCAGCCATGAGGCTCTCTCCTTGGAGACCACCCACCCCTCCAGGCACTGTAGTCTCTTGGCATTAGGGGTTGGGGAGGATGGAGTAGGCCGCAGAGGCTAAGCAAACCGGCTTGGGCTGGCTGGGTCCTGGGAGCCTCTGAGGGAGGGACAGAGGAGCCCGGAGCAGACTCTGTGGGAGACTGGTGTGTGCAGAGAAGGGAAAGCCTGGCCAGGGGTGTGGATCTGGGACTGAGGTCGGCCTCGGGGGGCCAGCGTGGAGTGACAAAGAGGGGGTGACCCAGCTTGCATTTGGGGAGCCAGAGTTTGGGATCCAACAGGATAGGATGAGGTTTAGGAGACCAGCAGGGGGAGCGGAGGGTTTGGGGAGTCTGGGGAGAGTTAGCAGGGATGCAGGCAGGGTTGTGGAGGTGGGAGGGGTCCCAGATGAAGGTCACGGGTGACAGGGTGAAGCGCCCGTATGAAGTCCTTCCCGGCGGTGCCCACCTCTCTCCCTGTGCTGCGCCCGCGCGCGGAGCGCCCCTGCCAGGATCCCGGCGCAGAGTGCGGCCACCAGGAGCGGCAGCCTCATCCTGGGTGGAGGAGACGGTCAGCCAGGCCCCCCGTCTCTGTCCCTCATCCCCCGCAGCTATCGCGGTGGGAGCCCAGTGCACCCCTACCCCGGTCCCGGTCTTGCCTGCCCGTCCACCGGCTCCCGCCGCCAGCCGTTGCTGCAGTCCCGCCGCCACAGCCGAGAAAAGTCCCCGATCGGGGGGCGGAGCTGCGGGCGGGGTCCCAGGCGGCCCGCCCCCCACCCAGCGTCCCGGAGGCCGCGCCCCCACTACCCCTGCCTGGTTAGACAACTTGACTCTACTAAAGGGTAAAGCCCCGCACCTCCTGTGGCTTCCGGGACTCCCCCCAGAAGGTTCTTGACCCTCCAACCCTGCCCAGGGTCAGAAGCTGTGGCTGCTTTAAGGTCAGAGTGACTAGTGTCATGACCGCTGGAGGCAGGAATTTAGATAGGTTACGGGGGATGGAAGAGACGGCGGAATGGTGGTGGGGGGAGGCTGCAGCTGGAGATGACTCACCCCCCACCCCATGGGGGTGCCCAGACAAGCCTTCAGGCCATGAGTCCCGCCGGCCACTCCTGTGATTCAGCCATCCCTGTCTCGGATCTCCTGTGCCCCACCCCAATGCCATTGACAGCTGGAGCAGCCCCCAGCAAGTGAGGGGCTCTGGGCTCATCCCAGGGAAACCAAGGCACCACTGGACTGAGGCTGCAAAATGCGCCCCCCCCTCACCTTGGGAGGAGGAAGCCGGGAGGGGAGAATCAGTGTCGTGCGTATGCATACGTGTCCATCCCGGCACCCCACACCCCCTGCCATGCCCTGAACCAGTCCCAGGCAGATGCCATCCAGCTGTGTTTGCACGGAGGGGGACTTGTCCATATGTGCAGGGTGGGACCACCCACAGTGACAGCTCAACTCTCAGGAATCCACCCCTTCCTGCCTATACCCCCACTGGTGGCCCTGAGTTCCCCCTAACTACTCGTCCTCCTTCTGGCCTGCCGGAGTCTCCTCCCTCACTCTATTCTTCTTGAAGACCCCCTTCTACCCATCATCCCCACCAGGTCCAGAGGTCACCACGGGCCCTCCCTCCTCTCCTTGCCTCTCTCAGGGCCCACCTGCAACTGCCACCTTCATAAGTACCCTTGTGCCACTGCTCTCCCCTTAACCAGCCTGACTTCCCACCCATTTCCCTAACTGGCTTTTGTGACTTAGACAGTCCCCTTTGACAGATCTCCAGGTCACGAACGCTGCTGTCCTGAGGACATGAGTGTTTTTATGTGTGTGTCTTCATCATAGCGGAGTGGTATCAAGGCAGTGATGTTCCCAAGAACAGCAGGCCCCGTGTTTTGTTTGTTTGTTTTCTGAGAAGCTCAGAAAGTATGTCTACACCCACCACTGCCACAGAGTCCCTTCCAACATCCTGGCCCCTCGGGCCTCTCCTGGGTCAACAGGCTGAGTGGGGAAGAGATGGGGACAGCTCTTCTTCATCTTCCTTGGGCTCCATTTGGGCTGGTGTTGGCAGTGCAGGGTGGGGAGGGGTGGTCTCTGGTATGGCCAGAGCTGGAGGCAATGAAGACCATCCATGCTGCCTGTTTTCCTATTGCCCAGATGGCTGAAGCTACAGAATGGCCCCTTTTATCACTGATCCCTCCCTCATCATAGGATACAGGGCTGTGACCCAAGGGGTCCAGAACTTTTTCCAAGGTCATGGTGTCCCCAGCCCAGCCCTTAAAGCTGTCTGTTGGGTGAGAAGAGCAGAGAACCAGACACAATCTCCTTACGGAGGCAGCCCCTGCTCCCAAGACCCCCACCTCTTCTTGCACATCAGAGGTGAGAGCTCACCGTAGGGTCATAGACACATAGCGGTCCAGCCTGTAGGGGCGACTGGACAGCCTGCTGAGAGGGTAGCAGGACCATGATGTGCCCTGGAAAGGAAGGGCTGCCTGCTGTGTGGGGATCCCTCAAAGGGTGCTGGGAGAGGCTGTTGGGGCGGTTCTAGCACAGGGGCGATGTGTGAGACAGGAGCCCCCTGAGGCCACGAGCGGGTATGTGACCATCCGAGTCTCTTGACTTCAGCCTCCTGGCAGGTGCACAGGCTAGGGCACAGCTCCAGAGCCCAGGCCTTCCATCTGAAGAGTGGGGTCCCGGAGCTCCGTCCTTCTCACGCTCCCCCAGAAACCTCCTTCTCTGGCTTCAGTCCCTACCTCTGTCAGGTGTTACCACATCTTTAACTGGGGCTTTTTAGAATTCCAGCCCCACACATCCTACTGTCTTGGACACCTCCAAATTTCTCACAACTATGGCCAAAGCTAGGCAGGTCGTCCTCTTCCAACCTACCCCTCCTTGGGGTACCCCAGCGTTGCTGGGGCTACTGTCCTGCTTGTGTACCCTACAGCCCGCTCCAGCTCTTCCTACGGCTGTGACCTCTGCTCTGCCATAGCACAGTTCTCTGGGGTGCCACAGAAATCCAGCCTGAGTCCCCATGCTAAACCTCAGGCTGCCCAAGTCACTTCTCTTCCCTGTAACCTCCATGGCACCTCCCTCAAAATGTCTCCAGAGCACAGATCAAATTCCCTGGCTTGGTGTGCAAGGTCTGTTGGGACCAGATCACATCCCGGAGTGCTCAGCACCCCCAGAACCTTTCTAAGCCTGGGCTTAGACATCAACCCCATCTTCCAGGAGCTCAGACTTACTCCCTGGACCCAGTGTGCCACATCTATAAGCACCAGGGGTGGGCCTGTCAGGGTTCTGCACTGTCTAGTAGGTTCTCTCAAAGTAGGGGGATGACCTGGGACCTCCCGCTCTGGGTTCTAGCGGGCACTCGATAGTTATTTCCTAATTGACAACTGGTGACAGCAGAGATGAGGGAAAGGCACTGGGGCAGGGCAGGAGGGATTCAAGGATTGTTTGGGGCCACTGCAAGGCTGATGCTGGGTGATTTCTCAACCACCTCTGTCCCCACATCCTGTTCCTGACTGCTAGTGGCACTCCCCCAGGAGAATCAGGCCCCTCACTTCCACTTCCTTCCTGGGCTCCCAGGGAACCTGACTGCAGAAGGGATGGAGACACAGGAAGAGGGGTCTACCTGCTCACCCGCCTTGTGGGGCCAGGGCCTGAAGGGGGACCAGGCAGCTCTGAGCTCCACTGGCTCCTGACTGCCACAGGTAGATGGGAAGGGGATCATCAGGCCAGCAGCTCAGGACTTGCCTGGGACAGATCTAGTCAAGGGAGGGGGCTCGGGCCCCACTGAGCTCAGGGCTATTCTCAGAGCCTGAGTCAGCTGCAAATCGAGGCAAAGGATTCCTGCCCTGCCTGTCCAGGCAACAGTCAGAAATCAGATGGGAACACTATGCCCCAGGCTATCATCCTCCCAGGATCCCGAGTAAACATTCGAAGGAGGCTTCCTCGGGGACTGTCCTTGGCCCTTCCTGGTCCGTCCAGGAGGCCAGGAACCGCCAGAAGGCATACTACATGGGGCCCACACCAAAGGGCTTCCCTCCTGAGCCACAAGAATTCCCAGGCAGGGACCTCTACCAGGGCAAAAGCATGGGTTCCCACACCCTACTCTTGGGACAGACTAGCTAGGAGCATCCCCCACGTGGCTAAGTGGAAACATCTGGCTTCAGCTCCCTGCAGGCATCAAAGGCTTCCGGCCTCCATAATGCAGCCCCCACGCTCGCCCCTGGCTGAGGAGACATCAGCCTGTGGGAAGGCGGAAGGATCTGGGGCATACATAACTGGAGGAAAGTCCCTGCTCCCCCATCCGCTGCCCAGAGGACTCCACAGCAATGCCAAGGAAACAAAACAGTTCTCAATACAAGCCTTTATTGGAGGTAAGGTCATCTGCACACAGGTCTGAAGAACCGAGGTGGTATGTCTGTGGCGGGGAGGGACCGTGAACCTTGGCCCAGCCCTCTCGCCCATACAGCCGTCTTGCCTAGAAACGCAGCCAGTACATGCCGCTGCGGATCCGGTTGTAGTCTGGGAGCTGCTCAATGGGGCCTGTGGAGAGAGGGTGGGGCGTCAGGGCGGGGTACCTGGCCTGTGCAGGGACACCTGGCCCTGTGCCGCACCCAACTCGGAGCTGCCCAGAGCAGCACAAGACAGGCTTTGAGTGGAAAAAGGGAAAAGAACATTCCCCCAGGGGTGCCGAGCCTGTCACTTCATGCTCTGGCTCTTGGAGCCCCACCCCACACACGGAGGTGTCCGTTACCTGGCGGGTGTGGAGTATTGATGGAGGCACCTTGGCAGGGAGTCAGGGAGCTGCTGGGACAGGTTTTCTGAGCAAGAACTCCCTGGCAGCCAGTCTATTGGGCAGAGCCTCTCGGGGGCCTCAGTTTGCTGCTGCCAGTGCAGGCTGGGGGGTGGGGGGAGGGCAGAGGCAGAAGGGGAGGCCAACAGGAGGCCTGAGGAGACGGATAAAGAACAGGGCCTCTAGGCCACTCACCAAATCCAGCCACTGCTGGACACTGGTCATAGAAGTACTTAGAGCAGACCTCACGGACCACACTGGCATCCACTTCCTGCGGGAGAAGCAGAAACCACATTGACGGGCAGATTCCGGGGACCACCTCAGCTCAGCCCACCAAGATCTTCCACATGGACCGAGAAGCTGCCCCCCTCAGCCAAAGGAGAAAGGCAGCGGGGCCCTCCCTGCCGCAGACCTCCGCAGGCCCCACCCAGGCCCTCAGCCTTCAGCGCCTCTGCCCCGCCCTCCAACGATGCACCCTGTTGGTGCTGAAGACACCAGGGATGCCTGCGGCAGCAGACTGCCCCGTGCACTGTCAGGCCTCAACTCCCCGCCCTAGAAGTCTGCCAGGTCAAGACTCCAGAACCTCTCCCAGGGGCCCACATTACCGCAATGCGGCTTTCCCACTCAGCCAGGGGGATGCGCCGGCCGTAGGTCAAGAGACTGCGTCCGATGTCTTCACACACAGGAGTGGTGCCTGCAAGGATCAGGGGAGGCTTACAGCCCCCTCCTCCCCGCCCGGTCCAGTCCTAGAGCACAGATGCTCACTGAGCCTCCAGCTCCAGGCTGGCACCTGCACCAAAGGCCAAGCCCGGATCCCAGCGCCCGCTCCCATCATCGGCTCCTCTAGCGCTGGGCTGCAGCTGACCTGGCCGTGGCAGCAGGGATACGGCATGGCCTTCAAAGCTCTCCTCTCCCATCCTGGCTGGAACCGTGGCTACCCTAGGGCTGTCCCTGCCAGGCTCTGCACCACACCCTCCCCACAGAGTGCACGACTCACCATCCAGATGAGCCACCAGGGCATTTCTGAGGACATTTTTGCCCCGCAGCACCTCACTCTCTGTGGCACTGGTGCACAGGCGCATCCTGAAGCGGGCGGGGGTAGGTGGTCATCGGAGGGACGGGGCTGTCCCCGACCCCCACTGTCCTGCTCAAAGGCCCCTCCCGAGCCTAGCAGCACTGGGCCTCCACTCACCACTGGCCCTGCAGGAAGAACATCATGTCGTCAATGTTCATGCGATCGCACACAAAGTGTGCGCCCAGCAACCCAGTCTCCGCGTAGCAGATGTTGAAGGTCTGGAAACTCTGGCACAACTTGTTGGTCACGGAGACGGCGGCCAGCGGGCTGGACAGGTGCTGCCAAGGGTGAGGATCGTCAGCAACCACCTCCCTGTCTGCGGCCCCCCCCGAGCCCCACGGTGCAGGAGCTCCGGGCCTGGCACCCCTGCTCCCGAAGGTGAGCCCCACACTCACTGTGCCGCCGCCGTAAGTGCAGTCGTAGTGGCCAATGATGGCATTGGCCACTTGGAGGGCTACGTTGTCCGGGTTGGCCCAGCCAGGCCCCTCTACCGCAATAGCTACGTGGGCCAAGGGCAGAGCATCATCACGGTGACGGATCTGAGGAAGAACATGGCAAGACTGAGAGAGCCAGCACGTCCAGGAGACCGGGGAGGGTAGCAGGGGTGGATGAAGCACGCACATGCATGTGTGAACACGTGTGCTTGAGGCAGCGGCCACAGGACCTGTTCCCCACCCCCAAGGATCTCTGGCCTCATGAAGACAACCACGTTCATGAGGGTCTTTCCAGAGGCCAAGGCTGGGACACCACCCCTGCCCACAGGCGGCCCACCTCGCTGCCCGTGAAGCGGCACGGAGCCAGGGTGGGCACGGTGTCCTCAGTGTACACCTCTGAGACGCTGCCAAAGTGCTTCTGGGCGAGGTCGAGGAGCTGCCGGTGCTCCACCCCTGCTGAGAGATAGCGAGCGCCGTGACTGGCCGGGCAGCAGGGGCCACGGCGCAGGGGAGGCATGCATGGGCGGAGGGCCCCACGTCCTGGCTCGGTGGGAGCCGGCGGAAGGCAGGCACATCAGGACAGGTAAGGGAAGAGAACCCTCCAGAGAGACTCTGCCTCAAGGGGCGGGGCGGGTACCTCTGGACCCAAGAGCCTCCATCACCTCAGCCCCAGGGAAGCAGCGGCATGCCGGGCTTGAAGATGGGTCCCCGGGGATGCATTCTCCCCCACAATAAGGACAAGCCTGGAGCTCCCCAGGCACCAGGCCAGCTGCCCTCCTTTTCCCTCTGATCCTTCCTCAAGCAGATGGCTTGAGGCTGCTGCCCTGGGGCAGGGAGGGGAGGCTAGTAAGAGGGCACAGAGGTGCTCCTGCAGGGCCGAGACTCATTCTGGGGACATTCACAGATGTTGCGACCTCAGTCCCTCAGGACCCTGCAGGACTTTACATCCTCACCTTTACAAGAGGAGGTCTCTGCTGCTCAAGCATCCTGACCGGCTGGCACTGTGGCCATAAGCAGCCTGCCAGGTACCTCAGCCTTTACTCCTTGCTTCCCCGAGCTCACACCCTGCTGGACGCAACACAGCCTCTCATGCCGCCCGCTTAAACTGCCCTTGGTGCCCCAGGTCACAGGCCCCACGGCCACCAACCATGCCCTTCCCAGCAGTCCTTTTCACCCACCTGGCTGCCAAGGCCACAAGCTGGAGAAGTATCCTTAACCCCATTCCTGTCCGCTTCCCACCATGGCCAGACGTCCTTCAGGTTTCCATCTATGAAACCATCCCTCGCTCCCGCCACTTCCCACCAGACGCTTGCCACAGACCCTCCCTGGTCTCTCTGCCTGCGCTCTGGCCCCTACATGGCAGCTAAGCCTTGGCCATGACTTCGCCCTGCCCCTCTGCTCAGGTTCCCCACTCCCCACCTGACCCCCCCATCCTTCAGACCTTGGCTCCCACAACACATGCTTCAAAAGCACCCCCTAACCTCCAACTTTGCACTTCACGGCCTGTCATCAAATGTGCATCGTCACACCCCAGTGTCCGGCCTGCCCGCTAGCAGGGATGCAAGGAACCAACCTGCCAGCAAAGCTTACAGCTCCCAGCAGCCTGCCACGTGGGCCTCTTGAGGGGCAAGGCGGGGCTGAGAAAGACCTGTACTAACAAGGCCGAGCGGCATCCCTACATGGCAGGCCCCGGCGGGGGCAGCAGGGCAGAATCCCACCCCACCTTAGAGGGCATGAGAGCGAGCTCACTGTCCTTAAGGACAGGACAGGAGCAGGATCCCCAGGGGTGGAATATCCCCTACAGTCAGAAGCAGGAGAGCTGGGCTCTGGTAACCAAGGATGGTGCCCAGTACTCACCTCCGGCTGCTGCCAGCACCATGCGAGGGGCCTTGTAATGCCTGCTGAGGTACTCGGTCAGGTCTGCACGAGACAGCTTCCTGCAAGACACACAGCCAGTGGCTCAATGCCTCTCCCAAACCACAGCAGTCTGGGTCCCATAGAAGCAGAGCTGAGGAGACAGACAAGGAGAGACATGGCTTCTCTGGGGAGTGGGCCCTAGCACAACCTTCGATCCCCTTCCCCATCTCTGCCACCCGCCCTCCGGCCCCCCTCACGTCAGCCGGAGGAGGACAGGCTCAGTCCTTCCTCTCTGAGGAGGCTGTGAGCTGATGCTGGGATGCTCTCAAGGGGCGGTGTCAGAGCTCGTCCCACCAGAGGACAAAAAACCACGCAGACAGAATCCCCAACACTCCCTCCCTCAGGTTGTCAGGACACACATAGAATCATACCCTACAAGGAGGCCCCTAACTCGAGTGAAGACCACACAAGCATTCAAAAAGACCCCCAGGGACCATATGGCAACAGAGAAAACATTTCCAGTTGTACAAATTAAGAACATACGATAGCACAGGCCGCCTAAAAACAAACTCATGTGGACAGCACTTGAGCACGTGCCAGCACGGGCCCAGCCACCCCTCACCTGACATTCCCGCTGGGCCCCTCCACAGCCTGGGCTAGAGGGGTGCCCTGGAACGCCGTGGCATGCAGGTAGTCAAAGACCACATCCCGCATACACGCATCGTTCTCCTGCAGCTCCTGGAGGATCACATCCCGCTCCTTCTCAATCTGGGAGTCTTCTAGACTGCAGTTCTGCACAATGTCGGCCAGGAGCTCCACAGCTGGATGCAAGAAGGGCAGGTGTGGGTACCAGGTGGGCCGATGCGGGCCAGTAATGGCACAAACCCCCCAGGCCTGGCAGGCCTGCTTGCCCTGCTGCAAGAGGATACTGTTGGGGTAACCCCATTCTCCGGCCAGTCCAAGCTCCTGGCACCTGTCCTCTGCACCCTGAAGTCCTATCCCCGTCCCTGCCCTCTCCTCTGCGCATTCATTACCTTTTGGCAGGTCCTTGGACAGCGCCTTGATGTAGTAGGCCGTGTGCTCCCGTGTGCTGTAGGCATTGAGATGGGCCCCCATGCTCTCCACCTCCTTTTCCAAGGCACTGCCAGGCCGATTCTTTGTTCCCTTGAACCAGGTATCAACAGGACCAATCAGGGGCCACATGGGAACTCAGGATCCCTATTTTGAAAGGCCAAAGTCCCAGAAGGACCACTCGTCCATAGGCACCACCTTCAACAAAGACTACAGGAATACTGGGCCTACGATCTGTGTTCACCAAGTGCTGAACAGGCCACGGTATCAAAGGCTAATCAAATGGAGAGAGCCAGGGGCCAGGAGAGAAAGGCATGGCCAGTTCAAGTATGGCCTGAAATCCACAGCCCCACAGCAGCCTGGCCTTACCAGCATTCTCTGTCACTTCACTGACAGTCACAGTCAGGTCAGCTCACGTCAATGTTCAGGTGATGCTGCCATGACCCACTCCACCCCCACGACATTCACATGACTGTGCGTGTGTTAGTGGACAGCTCTGTGGGACTCAACCCCAGTCGTGTGTGTGCGTTTGTGTGTTGCTGTCCACTGGCACACACACCCATGTTGAGATCTATACACACACTTGTGATACGGCTGCTGCTGGCTAGTCCGCCTGCCTGGGTGGGTAGTCACCCACCCAGGATGCTCCACACCCCCACCCATCCATAACTCCTTCTCCATTTCTTCATTCATTTAAAAAACTCAAGACTTCGGGGTGCCTGGGTGGCTCAGTGGGTTAAGCCTCTGCCTTCAGCTCAGGTCACGATCCCAGGGTCCTGGGATCGAGCCCCGCACTGGGCTCTCTGCTCAGCAGGGAGCCTGCTTCTTCCTCTCTCTCTGCGTACTTGTGATCTCTCTCTGTCAAATAAATAAATAAAATCTCAAAAAAAAAAAGATAAAAATAAAAAAAATTAAAAACTCAGACCTCAGGCCAACACGGGCTGACTGAGGGGCTGAGGGTGGATACTGTCCCCATCTTCAAGACACCTCGGTATTTACGTCTATAAACGAGATGCCCAGGTATTCTGCCAGAGGAGAGCATTTGACAATAATGCAGGCCAGCCCAAGTCTAGGAATTTGTTAAAATGCACGTGTCTATCTACGTGTTTCATGCTTCTGCACCAACGCACACATACAACACAGGCCTGGCCTCTCTGGTGAGGAGTAGGGTCCTGCGGCTCCCTGGGTTTTTTTCTGGCTCTGGGGGCCTTATGCAGGCGCTGACCAGATAGGTGCTCACCCAGCAGAGGCTAAGCCCATGTGGTTCCTTCCAGAAGAGCCAGCCAGAGATCGCCCCCCCCCCAGCTGAAGCCCGTAACTGAGGAGGCTGACTTTGCTAACTCGAATCCTCAGAAGGGATAAGAGGCAGCCCTAACCCCAAAGGAGATGTAGGACTTCAGGAGCCTCACCTTGAAAGCCAGATGCTCCAAAAAGTAACCTGCCCCATTGTTCTTCTCAGTCTCGTAACGGCTGCCAACGTCAATCCACACCCCGACCTGGACAAGAAGCCATCAACAAAGGTAACACACGAACTATCCCAGCCCCCACTTACACCCTACCCTAGATGACTCATCAGAAAACCTAGGTAGGTGGTCACAGTCCCAGAGTAGAGGAGAGCTGTTTCAGTAGGACCCCTGTGCTTGGAGCTACAGCTGTGCTCTGAGCACAGGAACTGGCTGAAAGAAATACTATGTTATCTTTCCTTCCCATATTTGTGGACTGGTTCCCAAGGAAGTTTCTAACTGTGCACACTCGCCTGACCCCATTACTATATGAAATATTATATTCTTTTATTACTTTTCAGTTCTTTTTTTTTTTTTTTTAAAGGCAAGCAACACTTCATTTGCAAACAACAACTTATTTTCTCCTTTCTAAAAATTATACTCTGTGGGTGCCTGGGTGGCTCAGTGGGTTGGGCCTCTGCCTTCAGCTCAGGTCATGATCTCAGGGTCCTGGGATGGAGTCCTCCATCAGCAGGGAGCCTGCTTCCCTCCTCTCTCTGCCTGCCTCTCCGCCTACTTGTGATCTCTTTCTCTCTCTGTCAAATAAATAAATAAAATCTTATTTAAATACATAAATAAATAAAAGTAAAAATTATACCCTGCCTTTGTTCTGACGATTTTGTCTTTCAACATTAAGAAAGGAGGCTATTGGTTTAGACACTGAACATTTTCTCTTATTAAGCGAGGCGTTTTCATTCACAATTAGTTTTAAAAAGTTTTTAACCAGCCTCAAATACTTAACATTGCCAAGTGTCTCACTGGCACCCAATGAGAATCTCACAGTTTCCTCAATAGCCCCCTGGTGTGCTATGAAACATACACCACCTCACTCACCCCACCCAGGCCACATCTATCTAGTTTTTTAATATTTGCTCACAGCTGATTTAAAATTTTCACATCTACTTTCCCAAGAGATGTGGATATACATACCATATCACAAATTCTTACACTATTATTTGTTACACAACTAACATCTCAGAAAGAAAAATTAATCTTACGACCCATGGTAGCCTTTGGGTATCATCAACAGCATTCTTTCTCCAGCAGTGGTGTCCCTTACAATCTAGAGCATCTCAGGGTCCATGAAATACAGCAATCTCTCCCAAATTTTCTTAACAGGCTTTGGGTCAGTTTATATAGGCACCATGTAATACGGTAGCTGCCCATGATCTTTTACTGTGTTCACTTATATTAAACTTATATAACTTGCAACAACTTATATCAAACTTATATCAATACTTATATCAAACAACTTATAACAACTTCTATCAAAGGACATTATTTGTTCCTGGAAAACTGAAAGAATTTACCAATAAAATGACTTAGCCCTGGAGTTTAGGGTGCAGAGGATTACGCTTGAGAATCCTCTCACCTATTCACGTATCTAGCCAAGATTTCTCTCCGTAAGTCAATTTAGAGGATTTGTATCTTTTGGAACATCACGTTTCTTTGGAATCTTCAAATGCATTCCTTACACAAGTGCATAAGCAGTCTAGCCAGGAGATACTTCGGGCTGAGTCTAGCGGTCACCTTATGTCTCTGAAACCCACTTCCCTCACCGTAAAATGAAAACAGGATCACTTCTCTCATATGGGCTACTTAAGAAAACGCTGCAAAGAACTTGGCCTCCTGCGTGGCAGGCATCATATGCTAAATGACTGTGGGTTATAGTGAGGAAGGCCCCAAGAAGCCAGGCCTAGCCGGAGTAGGGATTAAGGTGGTAGAATCAATCTATAGGTGAGTGAGGAAGAGTCCGACCCAAACCACAGAGGACTCGAGACCAAGGTCACACCCTGACTTGGGAAAAGACGCCAAGCGCAATATGAACGCGGCCTCCCGAGAGGGGCCCCCGCTCACCGTGCAGGTAGGCTGGGAGGACTGCTCGGAGGCCACTCGCAGCCCGTTGTCCAGCACGCTGACCTGTGTCTCTGGCATGCTCTGAAGAGCTTGGGCGAAGGTGGCGGTGCTGCGCAAGGCAGGCGACCTCAGCAGGACCGGCTGCATAAAGGGACGACCAAGACTGAGGGCTGGGTTGCAGGATCTCTCCTCGGCTCACAAGCCAGCAGTGGGATCCCGGTCGCCGCCCCCCCGCCAGCCGCGAGACTCCCATCCCCGCTCAGCGCCGTGACCTTCGCACGGCCCTGACCCCGGAACCTCCCCAATCTCCACCCTCCGCCGCTAACAGTCCGCTCCCCTCCGCGTGCCGAAGCCCCCAGCTCCACGGCCTTGTGCTCTCGCTGTCGCCTCACCGAGCTGCGGGTGCGCAGCAGCACTCTCGTCCCGGCCCCCGCCGCCCGGCAAACTGCGGAAGCCGCCATCTTCTAGCTCCGGTCGGCGTTACGTCGCTCCGCTCAAGCGTAGAGTGGACGTAGCGGCGCCGAGGCGCAGGCGCACTACCGCAGAGGTGGGGCTCGGCCGCCTCCTGGCGGAGACCAGGAGTATTCACGCGGGGCTGATACGTGGTTCTGTCCGCGAGTCCATCGGTACCACCGCGTGCGTCCGCCCACCTGGCTGTCCACGGCCACTGCGGGCCCATCCGCGGTCCAGTATATCTTCCCTTTTCCGTGGGAGGCAAAGAGCGCGATGTTTCTCACGAACCGCGGGAGTCCGAATCCACTGAATGCCCGGAGCTGCCGCGCGGGACAGGGGCGCCGCTGCCGCGCGTGTCCAGGGATGGGAGCCTGGGGGCTCAGGCCCCAGCGTGGGATGCTGGGGACTCTGAGGTAGCTGCTGATCACGGTTTTCTTTAAAAGGGTGAAGTCAGTAGATTCAGACGGTTGACATCGAAGGAATTTAACAAGATATCGCTAAGAAAAAGGAACAGTTTAGAGACTGCTTATTTGGGTGGAGAGAATATGGATTCCGTTTGTTCGCGATTGACACTGGCACTGTGCGTGTGGCACTGACTGTGGCACTGTCACCATGCGCCCTGTGAAACCGACTTCAAATTCAAAGTCATCGGCCTTGAGCCACCTTTCGGAGAGGAACGTGAGAGAAGGCTGTTGCTCCCGGTTCCCGTCTTACCCGGCTTCCGTGTGCATTGCACACCGTAGAACAAAGAAAACTCCTAATCTGGGGTGTGTGAAGTAGTCTTCCTTGTTTGCAACACAAAACTTGCACACACAAACAAAACAAAACGATGTGGTTTTTCTAATAGATCTCATAGAAAAAAAATCCGGAGGAACTCACTCGAAACTTGAAGCCGAGTGACTTCTGAAAAATGGATTGAAGGCTAGGAGAAGGATGCTACCATATTTACGTTTACATTTCTGTGTTAATACAGAATTTTTAATTTTTACAAAACAGACGTTACTTTTGAAAGAGCATACCTCTGAACTCCACTTTTACATGATTTATGTGATTTATCGTACTAAGATCTTTGTAATCTTTCAAAAGAAGTCGTACTTAAGATATAATTTTTGTAAAAGCAGACCAAAAGACGCTTAAGTGTGTGTTTATTAATATTTTGTGGTCTAAAATTATATTATGATCTAGAAGTGAAAAATAAAAATGCAGGGGCGCCTGGGTGGCTCAGTGGGTTTAAGCCTCTGCCTTCTGCTCAGGTCATGATCCCAGGATCCTGGGATCGAGCCCCCGCTTCGGGCTCTCTGCTCAGCGGGGCTCCTGCTTCCTCCTCTCTGCCTGCCTCTCTGACTACTTGTGATCTCTGTCAAATAAATAAATAAAATCTTAAAAAAAAAAAAAGAAAAGAAAAAGAAAAATGCAGTAGAATTGTCTAATTAGTCCTTCTTCCCATTTTAAAAAAACTTTAAAGAAGTTTTATATTTACAGAAAAGTTGAGCAGATAGTAGAGTTCCCATATAGTTTCCCCTGTTACTAACACCTTACATTATTAAGGTACATTGGTTGCAATTAATGAGCAAATATTGGTACACTATTATTAACTAATATATATTCAGATTACCTTAATTTCTTAATGTATTCAGATTACCCTAATTTCTACCTATTATTTTTTTCTCTTCTAGGATTCCATCCAGGATACAACGTTACATTTGGTTGTCACGTCTCTTTCGGCGCCTCTTGCCTATGAAGCATCCTCCCCCAGTGACCACCACACTTCCCCCAAGAGCTCACTGCATGTGCTTCCTCTCCTCCCATTCTCTCCCAGAGCCACTTCAGTCCAGTCCTCACATCACTCCTCCAAGTTCACACCTGTCATTGTAACCAGTGAACTTCATGTTGCTTGGGCTCCTTTAGTATAATTAGCCACTTCTTCCTCCTCCGAGCTTCATCCCTTCTCCACCTTCAGGTTCCCACACTCTGCTGTTCTTGTCTCACCACCCTGGAGCTGGTTCTTCTTCACCTCCTGATCTTAATACAGTCCAGGTCTCAGTCCTGGCTACCTCTTCCCTTCCTGATCAAAATTTGCTCTCTGGTCATCTCACCCAGCCTCATGGCTTCTGTGCTCTCTGTACATACAATATTCCTACCATGTACTCACCACCTCCCCTAGAGGGCCAACGTCTCAATAAAACATATCTAACACTAAACTCTTCACTCTCCCAAACCTGTTCCTCCCACAATTGCCTTCGTCAGTAAATGACACCTCCATTAACCCAGTTGCTCAGACTAAAAATCTAGGACCCAATCTTGTTGACTCCTCTCTCAAAATTCACACCCAACCCTTTAGTAAATTCTATTCCAAATAATTTCTATATCCAGTCTTCTCCAACCCCTTCCCCCACCCCCACAACTACCTTAAGGTGAGAAGGGAAGGATAATTATAAAAACAGGAAGTGCGTGATGTTGTAGAAGTCCTGGGGAAGTATGCGTTTCAAGAGTTTGGTCAAAAAAGGAAATGTTTACTAAAAGCAGCAGCCATTGCAATGACTTGGCAAGAGTCTTTGATGATTCACTGATCTTTGGAATTTACTTGGTATATGGAATGAGGTGAAGTAAAAATATCCTTTCCCCCCCAACTGAATTATTAAGTAACTTTATGCCCAATGTGGGGTTTGAACTCATGACCCCAAGATCAAGAGTCATATGCTCTACCGACTGGGCCAGCCAGGCGCCCCTCTAACAGCATTTCTTTCTTTCTTTTTTCTTTCTTTCTTTCTTCTTTCTTTCTTTTTAAAGATTTTATTTATTTATTTATTTATTTTAAAGATTTTATTTATTTGTATGACAGAGAGAGAGATCACAAGTAGGCAGAGAGGCTGGCAGAGAAAGAGCAGAGAGCCGCATGCGGGCCTTGATCCCAGGACCCTGAGATCATGACCCGAGCTGAGGGCAGAGGCTTAACCCACTGAGCCACCCAGGCAACTTAACAGCATTTCTTGTCCAGACCTTCTTTCTCTATCCATCTCTACCCATATCCCCTTTATTACCCACCCCAGGGATTCTCAAACCTGTAAGCAGGTCTATGTGGGCTGCCTGAGAAGGCTGTGGCACTAACCTTACTCTTCTCGTTCAATATTTATTTGCTATACTCATCAATTTATTATTTTAGGCTTTTTTCATGTTTTTTTTTAATTTGATTTTATTTTTTAAAAGATTTATTTTAGAGAGAGGGAGAGAGAGAGAGCAAGAGCATAGGGAAAGGGACAGAGGGACAGAGAGAGAATCCTGCAGCAGACTCCCTGATTGATCAGGACTCAATCCCAGGAGCCTGAGATTAGGACCTGAGCCAAAAATCAAAAGTCAGCCTCTTAACTGACTGAGTGAGCCACCCAGGTGCCCCTATTTTGTTTTGTTTTGTTTTTTAAATTTTAGATATAAATTGTGCTAATATTTATGTAAAATTTAGTATCTTAACTATCATTAAGTGTACAATTCAGAGGCATTGGTTACATTCAAAATACTGTACCACCACCATCATTATTTCCAGAACTTTGTCATCATCCAAAACAGAAACTGTACCGATTAAGCAATAATTCACTATTTCCTCCTTCCTCCAGCCCCTGGTAATCTCAATTCTACCTTCTCTTTCTATAAACTTGCTTATTTTAAATATCTTGTAGAGGTGGGATTATACAATATTTATTGTTAAAAACAAGAGACCCAAAGTAGAGTCATTTATGCTAAGCCTCAAACCACCAAACCAAACTTTGTAGTTGTCTGTACTCATGTTTTTCACCAGATTTGGGGGGGTAGTTGACCGTGATTTATTCAAATTTTTTCTTCTGCCCCTTTCTCTCTTCTCTGTTCGGAACTCCCACTCTACATAGGTTGTTCTGCTTGATGATACTCAACAGGAACTGCACATTTTTTCTTCTTTTTTCTTTCTGACCCTCAGACTGGATAATTCCATCTGTTTTACCATCAAGTCCACTGATCCTTTCTTCTACCTGTTCTAGTCTGCTGTTGAACCCTTCTAGTTCTCCATTTCCATTATTGTAGTCTTCAGCTCCAGTGTTCTTGGATCCACTGAGAATTTTCTCTTTATTGATATTCTAATTTTATTCAGATGTTGTTTTTCTGATTTCCTTTGGCTCTTTGTCCATGGTTCCCTTTCACAAATAATTCCACTGCCTGGGCTTACTTAGGGATGTTTTCTGTCAAGTTCTCCCCCCCCCCGACCCCTGCGAATGGGCCATACTTTCCCATTTCTTTGCATGTTGCATAATATTTTGTAGAGAACTGGACATTCTGAGTATGGCATGTGGTAATTCTGGAAATCAAATTCTCTCACTCTTCAGGGAATCCTGATTTCAGCTCGTTGAGGGGGTGGAGCTGTCTGTTTATGACCTTTCTATACTGTTTTTACAAAGTGTATATTCCTTGTTATGTGCAGTTGCTGAAGTTTCTATTCTATTTTCACTTTGGGCAGCCAGTGATCTGACAAAGATTTCCTTAAATGTCCTGCTCCCAAAGGCAAGGTGGGATGGGAGGGTGAGGGAGTGAGGTCTACTTAAATCCCCTGCACCTGGGAAGCTGCCTCAGCATGGGGTGGAAACAGGGAAATTCACTGAAGTTTTGGTTTTTTTTTAAAGATTTTATTTATTTATTTGACAGACAGAGGTCACAAGTAGGCAGAGAGGCAGGCAGAGAGAGAGAGGAGGAAGCAGGGTCTCTGCTGAGCAGAGAGCCCGATGTAGGGCTCGATCCCAGGACCCTGGGATCATGACCTGAGCTGAAGGCAGAGGCTTTAACCCACTGAGCCACCCAGGTGCCCCATGAATTGAACTTTTCATCAAACTCTCCCTTGCGTGCTGCAAGTGTTCAACTAGACTTCAGGGTTCCAAAAACCTGCCACGTGGTCTTTGCAAGTTCAGTAATTATTTTGGTGGAGAGAAGGATTCCTGGAGAATCTTATTCTGCTATCTTTTGTGATGTCACACCCTGTTCTAAACTATTTATAAGAATAGTCCGTTGTCAGCCTAAAAGCAAAGCATGGATTGATTAGAAATGTATCAATGCCAATGATTTGGGGGGACAGTTGGCCGAGAGTTTCTGGTATCAATATCCTGGTTCTGTTTTAACCCTTTTCCTCTCAATCTTCCTCCCTCCTCTTGCATTTTACCATAAATAACAAGAGCTGAGGCTGTGTTTTCCATTTTACTTGGAAATCTCTTTTATTTAATGTCCATGTTCATCATTTACAAGTTCTGTTTTCCACCCACCAGCTATTCCACTAAGCTCTCTACAGCTACTTAGTGTCCTGTTTCCTCCTGGTCTCCAGTAACATGTTCCTTGTTTCCTTCTGAGCCCTCATGGGCAGGAGTTTTAAAGTCAAGAGATTTCCGCTAATGGTTGAAGGTGGTTTTGGCTTTTTCCATTATGCTCCTTGACCTTCTTCCAGGTTTTCCTCACTGCTCAATTCCAAAGCCGCTCCCATATTTTTAGAGTTTGCTACAGTAGTACTTTGCTCTTGATACCAATATCAGTATTAGTTTTCAATTGCTCTCATAACAAATCACTTGGAACTCTATGACTCAGCACACAAATTTGTTACCTCACCATTCTCTAGGCTCAAAGTCCATCATGGATCTCATTAAGTTAAAATCAAGGCATCAGCGGGGCTGTGTTCCTTTCTGGAGGTTCTAAGAGAGAATTGTGTGTCCTTGATCATTTGTATTGTTGGCAGGATTTAGATCCTGGTGGTTGTAGGTCTGAGGTTCCTGTTTTTCTTGCTGGCTATGTCTGGAGGGTCATTCCCAGCTTCCAGAGGTCACCTGAATTCCTTGGATTTTTGGATGGTGGAAGGTCCCTTCTACCATCTTCAAAACCAGGAACAGAGGATCAAGTACATCTCACAATTTAAATCTGACCAAGTCAGCTGCCCTCATTGTCACTTTTAAAGGCTCATGTGATTACATTAGGCCCAAGAAAATAATCCAGAGTAATCTCTCTACCTGAAGGTCTTTGACCTTAATTCCATCCACCAAGTTCTTTTTGCCATGTACTGTAACATAGCCGCAGATCCCATGGCCCTCTTGAGGGGCCATTATTCCGCCCAACACGCCCTCACTAGGAGGTACTGACCCCTCCTGCTCCCCAGCCTGCTCCTTCTTACTCTCCAGAGCTCCTTTTTCCACAGAAATTCTGACCACCTTCTAGTTCCTGGATAAGGCCAAGGTCTGTCCCCACCCTCTTACCAGACTTGTCATTCTGACTGGGGCACTGTCCCCTACTCTAGTCACCTCATCCTTCAGGTGCCCACAGTTGGCCCACGTCTTCTCCATTCTGACAGGCCAGCACACGTCTCTGCAGAGTAAGTGCTTTTCCTGAACTGATTTCACCACCACCGCCGCCCTCCCATTTGTGAGTAAGTAAGGCGGAGCCCTTTCTGTTCGGGACCTCACTGGATCCCAGTATCCGCAATGGAACTGGCAAACAGTGGGTGCTCACTGAACCTTGTAGAATGTAGAGATGGGCCTAGCAAGAGGCTGATGAATCCTAAGCTTCAATGCCCTTCTCTTCCAGGCCTTGGGGAGACTCCCAGTAGTGTGTCTGTAAAGGCAAGTCTTTTTTTTTGTTTTTTTGGTTTTTTTCCAAAGATTTTATTTTTTTGAGACAGAGCACAAGTGGGGAGAGGATCAGGAGGAGAGGGAGAAGCAAACTCCCTACTCAGCAGGGAGCCCGATGTGGAGCTCAAACTTAGGACTCCAAGATTACGACCTGAGCCGAAGGCAGATGCTTAACCAAATGAGCCACCCAAACACCCCAAGTCTTTTTTTTTTTTTACACTTGCAAAATGAAGATATTCTAACTGTATTCAGTTAGAACCTCTGTCTTTTCCCACTCAACCCCTCCACCCTACCTCTTCTCTTATAGGGAACACGGAAGAAGTATAATTTTGGGGGTTCAGGCAAGAGGAAGGTGGGTTGGGGATTGTCCCAGCAGACTCCAAGAGGGAGATTAGGATGTTTACCAGGGAGTCAAGCTAGGTATCTAAGGGAGGGAGGGAAAGGGTTGGACCAAGGGCAAAAACTAACTGTGGTGAAGCGCTTCTGTGGCTGAGCTAGACGCACTTGCCGGTTTGCCCTCTCAGTGCCTGGCGGCAGGCTGGGATCTGAGGGCCGCAGCTCCAAGTCAAACTCAGGGACACACTTGGATTGGGTTTAGAGAGACCCAATGTGGTTTGCTCCACTCCTGCATGTGGTTAACTAATTGTTCCTGTCCTGGTACAGGAGGCCCCCCAGGAACATCCTGTCAGATCAGAACTCCTGGTCAGGACAGAAATACAGGATCCTATCGCATTTGCAACCCTAGGTGCCCCCACAGTGCCCAGCGCTAGAAAAATTGTGGGCCACGAAAAGAAAACAAGTTTTGAAATGTCTGGGGAGCCCGAAGCCCATCCTGGAGAAACTCCTCCCGATTCCACAGCTTCTATATGAAGGCAAGTTGATGAGCGTTTTCCAAATATGAAAACCACCCAGACCATTGATGAGACATCATCAATAACAGGTTAGGAGAGGAATTTTCTAAATTATCAAAAATTAAAACACAAATGCCAATCAACCACGTTAGAAGAAAGACTGAGTTCTTTTTCTGTTTTCTGTAGAGAGTATGTCCCCCTTATGTCAAGCCCCTCATCCTATATGGAGGTTTTCAGAGTCGGCAGCTGGGGGTTCAGAAGAACACACAGTCCAGAAACACGTCCGGACATCACCGCAAGCACATCATTGGTCTGGATTTTGCATCATAAGGTCAAGTCTTTAACATTTGTAATCTCTCGTTTCTTTCCTCTTGTGAATGCACCTGTTTCTATTTTTGAATATTCTTTTTCTAAAACAGACCTTCAACACGTACAGGTCTCAGTACCCACTCAGCCTGGGTTGTCTGCAGTAGAAGGGAGGGAAGTGGGGGTGAAGTTCAGCCCTCATTCCACTTCCAGGGGACTTAAGGCGGGGGCTGCCCAGGCGCCAGACCATGTTTGGGGCTGCCACAAGGATGAAGGCAGCCAGGGCTCACCCTCCAACCACCGTCTGCCCCCCTACCCAACTCTCTGCATCACCAGCTGGGAGCCCTCATTGACTCAGCCAGGTTATCACCTCCTCTGGGAAGCCCTCCATGGACTACCCAAGTCTGCCCTGATGGTCAAGTCTTGTCCCACCACACTGGGGCCCCTGAGGAGCCCCAGAGGAACAGCTGGATTTGTGGGTGAGACCTTAGGGAAGAGGGGTCTGTTGGTAGGGGCAATGGAGCAGTGTGAGCCCATCCCATCTTCCCACCCATCCTGGACACAGAGGCCTCCAGTCTGCTGCCTGCAGAAGGAAAAAGGGAACACAGGGTCCAGGGTCCAGGCAGGCCCGGAGAGGACGGACGGACGGACACACACACACACACACACACACACACACACTGAGGCCGGCCCAGAGCCTTAGGCCATCCTCAGGTCATCAGGCAAAGGGAGGCATATGTTGGGTCACCCACTTTGGGCGGATATCCCCTTTATTGGGGTCTTCTGTTGGGTGGATATACGCTGCAGGTGGCCCTCAATATGGACCAGGAGGGAATCCAGCATGTGCAGGACCCCAAGGAGCAGGGCGCGGTCTGAGATGTGGGTCCGCCGTTTCCAGGGTCCACTCGGGTTAGTGGTCACCTGCGGATGCTGAGGAAGGACCAAGAAGCAGGAGTTAAGAGCAGGGGATAGGGCGGGGGTGTGGGGAGGGGCAGCGATGAGACCGGGGAGAAGGGGATGGGAAGGGAGATGGTCATGGAGGGTCAGAGAGGGTCTGCCGTGGGCTAGGGTAGTCACAGGGGGCTGGATGAGGGATAGGGATAGTAAACGGGTGGACAGATGGGGGCAGAGTACTGGCCACAGGGAATGGTCAAGGGCTGATGGGTATGGACCGGTGTAGGGGCCATAGGCTGTGAGCCAAGGGGTAGAGGACGCAAGGCCTGGGTGGAGAATGTGAGCTCACAGGGTGGGAGTGGAGGCAGGAGGCTGCGGAGGACCAAGCAGCACTGTACTCACCTCGGACTTGGCCTGGGAGCGCCGCCGCTGCAGCACCGCGCGGCCCATCATCAGCATCATGGTGGTGGTGATGGTGACCCCAGCCACGGGGTAGAGGCGGTTCATCCCCAGGCCCATCCAGTGGCCGGCACAGCCCAGGCTGCCCCCGCAACCTTCCAGGCTGTTGGGCTGGCATCCCCAGGGCTGAAGGTCCAGCCCCACCTGGTACCACAGGGGCCGAGACCAGGCCTGGGAGGGAGCTGGCATGGCCAGCAGTAGCAGCAGTAGCAGGAAGGATGGTGCGAGCAGCATGGCGGCGCCAAATGCCCGGATAGAACCTGGGTGCCTGGCAACGGGCAAACACCCCTCCCCCAGCAGCGAGCTGTGGGTTCCAGCAGGATCCATGGCCTTTCAGGAGGGGTATCCTGGCCAGGAAACACTGCTCCCTTAGCCTCCCTCCTGTGACCCTGCTGGGCAACACAGTCCCTTCTCTCTTGTGTGACCCCGTTTTGTTTCCTTCAAAGTCATTCTAACAATGTGCAAGTTCTTATTTGAGGTCTGTCTGACCTCCGTTCTGGCCTAGAAGTTTCCCTCACCCAGTATTTGCCAAGCATACCACAAGCCAGGCACCGTTCCTGCGGCCGGGACATGGCGTGTCAGAGTGGATTAAGAAGCCCTGACTTCCTGGCCTGTGATTCTGGGAGGTGGGGGCAGGGCAGATGATTCATGAACACAGAGCAGGATGCTGCCGCCACACACGATAAACACTGAGCTGGACAAGGGGCACTTCGGTGACAGGAAGGGCAGTGCGGTCTCCGTCCACTGGCCCAGCACTGAGCAGGGCGCCTCGGCAGTACCTGCGGAAGGCAGAGCTCCCGGGCTCTGAGCAGGGAACACTGGTCTTGTTAAGAGCATTCCTTGGCACTGCCTCATCTAATACTCACCAAGCAACCCACGATGTGGGAATGGTGACATGACCATCCCTGCTATTCCACCACGGAGACCCAGAAGATTCTAGCCACCCCCCACCCGCCTCCCCTCATTCAGGGCTTCAGCTGTCCCGGAGGAAGGCCCATGGCCGTCCACTGGGCGACATGCTCAGATGCTGACCTTTTAAGGTAGAAGTCAGCACATGCTTCTGGGTGGAGAGTGACCTGCACAGCCCGAGTGACCTAATGATATGAACAGACTTTTTTCCCAAGTAAGTGAATCCTCCACATGCTTACTTCTTGACACAGGCTAGTAGCACCTGTGGACACCTCACTTCCCCAGCGGGTTGCTCAGCTTCACTCTCCGCCCTCCAGGGGCCACACTCACCGGGACCATTCCTGAGAAGCAGATTCCATGGTCTTCCGGCTAAAGACACAGGCGCCGAGGGCTGTGCATGGCTGGGGAGCGTGAACCCGGGGTGCCCCCACCCTGGCCTTGGGCCCCATAACTCTCCCTCTGGCTCTTTATTCTCCCACCTGACTCTGCCCTTCCCAAGCCTTCCCCCCCAACTTCTGACTTCAGCCCACCATGTTGGGGCATAAGAAGGGTGTCAGGAGCCAGGGCTGTGGATCACTGCCCACTCCACCAAGCCCCCACCAAGGCACAGCAGAGCCTGGTGGTAGGCAAACAGGTCTTTATTTCTGGGGCTAAAAACATGGATCTTTCCCCAGCCCAGCCGGTGCCGGTCTGACTCCAGTGCCCCATCCCAGACCCAGGCCTATGGCACTGAACTTGGGAATTCCAGGACCTCCATCCCTGAGCTGTGTGTGTGTGTATATGGAGGGGACTCCTGGGTGACGTCTGGAGGCAGCCCGGGGGCAGGGAGTTTCTCACAAGTGCCTGGTCACAGCCTCCAGAGGTGAGCAGTGGTAGGCAGGGCGGAGGCACCGTCAGAGTTTGGTTGTCTGAGTAGGTAGAGAGGGAAGGCTCCAGTCAGTTTCCAAAAACACACAGCAGCCCCGTCCCCCAGGACAGCGACCCCTGCCCCTGGGAGCAGCTTCAGCGGAAGGCGGGAAGGGGTACCAGTGGGTCCACTGGGGACAGAGCCATTCAGAAAGGGTGGACTTCCTGGAGGTGGGGGTCAGGGTAGGGACAAGCAGTAGACAGACAAAAAGAGCACAGGAGCCAGAGGCCAGCTCACCAAAACAGGGCTGGCAGGGCTGGACCGCGGGTGCTGGAGGGCAAAGAGCACAGCATCGTGGACAGAAGCAAAGAGATGCTGCTTAGTGATTGATGCATCGAAGAAGTGCCCAGCCTCAAGCTGGGAGACCACAGGAGCTGTGGGCAAGGAGTAGGTCTCCCCTGACTTGCGGAACCACCAGGCACGTCAAGCCCCCAAACTCAGTCACCAGAAAACCCTGACCCATTTCACCCATGACCTCTATGCCTGAGGTTACTGCTAAACCTCCAGTCACTCCTGACCCTTGACCCCTGCCTCCCAAGACCCCTCTGACCCCCAGTCTCAGAGACTTTTGTTTGTGCTGCTTGGCAGACTCCTTGGCTAGAAGAACCCCACTCCCCGACCAGACCCCTTGTGCCGTTGCCCCCCACGCACCGTGGCAGGCGGCCATGTACACCTCCACCTCGATCTCTCGGAAATCGCGGAAAATCTGCAGCCAAAAAGTGGGGGCTAGACTCAGAGGGAGCTTCGAGGGCTCCAAGGAAGGACTCAGGCAGGTGGTGGAGAGAGTTTTGAGATGGAGCTCAGAGGGGCTCTTGGATCTAGTTATGGGGTCAGGAGGCTTGGGGGGGCCTTGTCCTCTCCCATGGCTCTTCTTAGGAGCACCCCAGCCCCTTACGTTCTTCAGGCTCTTGATGCACACAGTGTCCACGAAGGAGAGGGCGCCCAGGTCCAGAACGAGGCTGTGGAAGTGTGGCTGAGGCAGGCCCAGGGCCTTCAGTGTGGACCCGTTTGCGGCCTTGGCATCTTCTTGACCGCTGCCTGTTGTATCCTCTAGCTCTTTCCCTGCGCTCGCCTGCTAGGAAACCAGACACCCTGCAAAGGCTGCCCGTGAAGGGGTGATGGCAAAGAACACAGACAGGCAAGGGCCACACAGGATCAGATGTGGGACCCCACACGCAAACACCCGCCTATATGGGACGTGCAGGGAAAATCTATGGCAGATCACTAGGCCTCTCCCTATAGGGCACTGGACCCATCACAAACCTCCCCCGCCGCCGCCCACCACTGGCACGACTACCTCGAACCCACGGCTTTCCCCGCAGGATGCGCGGACCACTCACATCTCTGCAGCTCACGGCTGCCCCCTCTCCCACCTCCAGCCTCACCCTGGCCTTGGAGTCGTCCACATTGTTGCTCTCCATGTCTCTGATGTTGGTGTTGACTTGGACGGAAACAGAAGTGCCCTCGGAGGCAGCAATCTAGGCCAGGGGAGAAGGAGGACAGGAAAGAGTTGTCCCGGCTATCATAGGACAGCCAAGCCATCCCAGTCTGGTGTCACCCCCAGGCTTTGGGCAGCTAGGCAGGCCAGGGACTAAAGCTTGGGACCCAGGGCTGCCAGGCTGGGGTCGGTGGGGTTTTGACCAGTTCCAGGAACAGCCAAGAATGGAAGAGGTGGTCCATGCTGTCACTGGCATGGGGGCGGGGAGGAAAACGAAACTGCCCAGAGCGCTGACCTTGGGGAGGGGGGAGCTAAGCAGGGCCCCCGGGAGGGGGCATCAGGGAGAAAGAAGGGATGAGTGAGGCTAAGAGCTCAGGAGGCCAGGAGAAAGAGCATGTGGGTTCAGCAGCAGGACGGGGGGCAGGAATCCCCGGCTCGAAGGGGCCCCTGCCTGTTTCTGGAGGGTCTTCTGCATCCGTTTCAGCTTCTGCTCCTGCTTCCTGAGCCACTTCTTCTTCTTCGAGATGAGGTGATCAACGTCCACACCACACTAGAGGCAAACAACACGGAAGGGGATGTGGACGCTCTGGGGCGGGGAGAGACCCTCTGACACTCACCCTGGGGACCCCCGGACTCACCCTCTTCTTCAGCGCGTCGCTGTAGAGCTCAGCATTAGCGAAGTACAAGGTGGCCGAGGAGCGGAAGACCTTCACGCCTGGGACCTCCCTGGCCTGGGGATGGGGCAGGGTTGGAGTGGCTGAGCCCTCCACTCTCCTGGCTTTCTTGTTCTCCTCCTTCCCTCCCCCCGTGTGGCCCAGGGCCCCCCATCACCAAGCCTCTGCTCGCCAGCCAGCAAGGGCCCAGCCTGCGGCCCCTGCCCTCCTAAGATCTTAGGCCACAAACTTAGCTATATCACCCTAACTCCTCCTCCTGCTCCCTACCCCTCACCCTTGTCACCCAGGCCCTCAGCCAGGCCTGTCAAAGCTTCCTCCAGGGCACCCTGTGCCCTCCCTTCCCATCTCCCCCTACTTCTGCCAATACCCAGGTCAGGCTCTTAGGCCGCCCCTTGGGGCTCCACCGCCCACCCTGTGATCAGTTTCCTGCATGTGCACAGAGAGACGCTCCCCGGCTCCCACTCCAACAAGGGCTCAGCACTTGGGCCTATATAATGCATCCCACCTCCCTTTCCATCCTGCTGAGCTGCCCCCCTCCTACCCTCCCCTCACTCTGCCTAATTATACTATACTCAGACTCCAAGGCTCCATGTCAGCAGGAATGGGCTTGTTTTATTCCAGAACCCCACTATTAGGCATGAAGCTTCTCAGGAGGTAAACGGACAACTGGGATGTAGAACTCCACTGATCAGGTCAGCAAAACAGCCTCCCCTACATCCTGATGCCCCAGGCTCCTGCATTCCTGCCCCAAGGCTGCTCGGCAGGATAAGGCTTATACTGCTGGCTCCAAGACAGACCCCTCTCCCGGCTCCCCGGTCCCTCTCTGTCCACTCCTCTGTCCTTTCATAGTTCTAAGTAGGAGTCATGGACCCAAATTCCTTCCTTAAGTTCCCAGGACCAAAGCACCCTCAGCCCCCAGGGTCTTTGCCTGATGCAGAAAGGACTAACAAAGGCCCATTCTACCTCCGTCCCACCCCACCAGGCCGTCCCCCTGCCTAGGCCCTGCCACCCACCTCTGAGTATTCGGCCACATCTTGGTAAATATCCGTGTCTGGCACCTGCCCCAAGACAGAGTAGCGGGGCCTGTGAAGGAGAGAGTGTGAGGAGGGGGCAATGAGGGGGTACCAGGGAGCCTCGGGCTACTCACGAGATGTGGGAAAGCTGGGGGGAGCCAGCGTGGCCTTCACACCCCCCCCCCCAGCTGGGATGGGGGGACCAACAGGGGAGACTCACAGCTGCGTGCGGAAGACCACAAGGAGCAGGGAGAAGACGACAGCGATCGCCAGGCCTATGTCCAGGTTCAGCAGGATGGTGGCCACAAAGGTCACCAGCCAGATGAGCTAAAAGAAGGAGGCAACGTGGCTAGGGGAGTGGGAGAAAAATGAAACTCTGCCCTGAGCACTGATCTGCAGTGCTGGGGTTGGGGGGAGGGCCTCGGGGAGCAAAGCAGGGGCCCTGGGGGCATCAGGGAGAAAGGAGGGATGAGCAAGACTAAGAACTCAGGAGGCCAGGAGAAAGAGCATATGGGTTCAGCAGCAGGATGGGGGGCCTCTCACCAGATCCATTCGATTTGACTTCCAGAGGGAAGGAATGTCGGTGAACTGCTTCAACATACCCTTCAAGTTCACGATAATGGCAGCCGCCAGCACAGCCTGGGGGAGGAGTGGGCGTGTCACAGGGGTTGCTGGGAGGTACCCAGATGTTGACAAGCCTGACCACCCAGCCGTGAGCAAGACTGATGCTGGCATAACCCCACATGACGCTCACGGCCACCCCTGAGCCAAACACCTTGGATCTGAACCTGAAGGGTTCTAATCCCCTACTCTCCACTCCAAGTTTCACCCGAGAGAGAGCTCAACCTTGAAAAACAGGTCATGCACCACCTTGTATTCCTGCCCCTCGCCTCGGACCTGACTGCCCCTTGCCCCTGGCCTGGCCAAGTCCCTCAAGCCTGGCTGGCTGGATGTGTCCACTCACCTTGGGCAGATCTCTGAAGAGCTCCCCAAGTTTGACGATGATAATGAGGATAAAGAGGGAGGAGACAGCTCCAGCCACCTGCAGGGTGGGAGTGAGCAGGGGGGTGGGGCGGGGGTGTAGGGGTGGCGGGAGGAGCGGGGTGGGATTGCCCAAAGCTGTGTGTGCGCACGTGCACAGATGCTCGCGCACACGCACAGATGCTCACCCACACCCAAAGCCCACCTGTGTGTTGCCCCCAGAGCCCTCCTGCACCAGGCTGCGGGACATGGAGCAGCTCACGGGGAAGCACTGGAAGATGCCCCCAATGAGGTTACTGAGGCCGAGAGCCACCAGCTCCTGGTGGAGAAAAGTGCAGGTGTGTAGTGCCTGCTGCCTGTGCCACTATGTCTAGGCCTAGGTGTCCCCAACCTCCATCCACACTCAACGGCCCCCCAGGCTTGGCTGCTACTGTCCCGAATGCCTTGCTCTCCCGCCCTCAGTCCCCTGCGCGGCCCCAGCATGTCTGTTTGCTATTTCCCTATGTCCCACCTGACACTCCACACCCCCTGCCCCCAGGCCCTGGGGTCTCTGTATACCCAGCTACCCCCAGACCTTGTTGCTGTCCACCCGGTAGCCGTGCCTCAGGGCGAAGATCTTCCCCAGGGAGATGGCAATGGCAAAACCAACCACAGCGATGGTGAAGGCATATCCCACCAGGCTGGCGAACAGCTGGGGACTGGGGGCCGCTGGGGGCACCAGCCTGTGAGGGGCATTTGTGAGGCCAAAGGAGGGAGCCGGCCCTGGTCCCCCAGCCCTCACTGCCCGGGCAGGGGCCAGAGCTCACCCTGCAGGGATGTCGCCCACAACATCCACCCCAAACCTAGACTTCAGGCCCACGCCATAGGAGATGCCTGTGGCCCCGATGAGCTGGGGAGAGAGGACAGAGTCAGGGGAGGGGTTCTGGCATCATCAAGGGGGTGGAGAAACCTCTGTGGGGGTGAACAGCGAGGCCTGAAGCAAAGCCTTTGGCGGTTGGGGGCGGCTGGGGAGAAGTGGGCAAAGGGGTAAGCTACACCACCACCCTTTGGGGAAAGGAGATGATATCAGGGTCCAGAAGGTACCAACATGGGACCTTCCTGCTGTGGTCACACCCCATCCTCAGGAAATCTCCCGGGTGCCCACTCCAGCTGGTCGTTAAATCCCGGGGGTGCCCACTGGCCAGGATGTATCCCCCCGCCAACAGATTCCAAACCGTGAGCAGCTCCCCAGGGATCGGCATGGGCAGGTATCGGTGCAGCTTGTCGTTGAGCAGCTTCAGCAGCACTAGTACCACCCCTGACACCAACGCGGTGACCACCGCGCCGACCACACTCTGAGGCAGCAGCGAGCAGACCTCCAGCACTGTCTGAGGGGAGGCAGGGTCACCGGCAGCACTCAAGGTCGTGGGGCGCGCCCCGGCTGGCCCTCCTCCTGCCCGCACTCACATAGATGAGGGACAGCGGCCCAGAGCGGCTGCTCAGCTGGAGGCCAAACACATACTTGAGCTGTGAGACGAAGACCTGCACGGACGCGGCTGTGGTATAGCCTCGGACGAGGGGCTCCGACAGGTAGGTAACCACGAAGCCGAAGCGGACCAGACCCAGCCCCACCTGTGGGGTGGCCAGGGGCCATCATGGGAGGCAAGGGTCAGGGTCGTCAGGTCGGCTACAGCAGAGCCCAGGGCAGGGGGTGGGGGGATGAGGGAGCAGCCAGGGGGAGGAGGAGGGCAGGGATGGGCAGACCCTGAGGGGAACTGGCAGGGGAAGGCCGGGGGGAGGGGCAGGGGGGGTCACGTCCTCCCTCCTGCTCTGCACCTGGAAGAGGCCGACCAGGACGCTGAGTGTGGAGGCCAGCTGCACCCGGAAGTGGTCTCTGGCCACCTCATCCACGGTGGCGTTCACACCCTGCAGGAAGTTCTCATCCGGGGCCAGGGATTCTGTCACACTGCCCACCATCACAGACATGACAGCAAAGGTGCCTGCAGGGGTAGGTCAGGATGGGTCTGAAGGGGACAGGGCACTGACCTACCCTGGAGACCTGCCCTTAAGGGGAGAGGTCAGGAGACAGCTGGTTCTAGACAAGTATCTTCAGACTACGTCAGGCAGATAGATGCTGTGCTGATAGTCAAGTATGAACTCTGAACTTAAGGACTCTTGAGGGTGGCTAGGAATGTTGGTCTGCATCACCTTCCCTGCCCCACCTGTGTCCATCAGTCCAGAATCACGCCCCTTGCAGAAGGTGAGATGGGGAAAAGGGCTCAGCCTGCCTCAGGCTGGTCAGGACTCTGCTGAGTTCTGGACCCTTCGAGCTGCCTCACCCACCTCCTCTTGGAGCCAGGGGCTGGAGCTCTCCTGAATCTGTGTCCCCACAGTCAGAGGCCTAGTCCTGCCTGGAAATGACCGTGGACCCAGCACCAATGTTGTCCCCTTTCCTAAGTTCCCTTGTCCCTCCCATTCAGCCCTCCCTCACCCTGTCCTCCACAGGGGAAGGTGGACATCCTCCTGTAAGGCCCGAGTCTGGCTCCACTCACCCACGGAGATGTGCCGGGAAGTACCAAACAGGAAGTAGACAAAGACAGGATAGAAAGAGCTGTAGAGGCCGAACACGGGGGGCAGTCCAGCCAGGAGGGCATAGGCTAGGCCTGGAAATGGAATGGTAGTAATGGAGGCTTGGAGGCCAGGGCCTTGAAAAGGATGAGGGAATCCCAACCCTAGGTCATGGGCCACAGTTCCAGGGGCAGCGTTCACAGCATCAGATTATGGGGGTGGACGAGACCACAGGGCTTCTGGCCCGGGGCCTTGAAGGATTGCAGATCACCCCCAGCCAGGACTCAGGGTACAGCCTCCGGGTCAGGTAGGGCTCACCCTGTGGGAGCTGCATAATGGCCACACTCAGGCCAGCCAAAAGGTCGCCCAGGAGCCAATCACGCAAGGGATACCGGGGTAGCCAGGACAAAACTGGGACGTACTGGAACAGAAGGGCTCGGGCCCGAGCACGGGAACACCTGTGGATACAATGGTAGGTATTGGGGACAGGGTCTACCTAGGTCCTGCCAGGGCCCCCAGACCCCCACCCTCAGCCTTACTGAAACCAGGTTCGCCACTGGTAGGTCCTGGTGGCTGAAGTCCGGTGCCCCAGCTCCTCCAACTGTTGCTGGTTCATCAGTGGCCGCTCCACATGGTAGTCTCTATTCCTCAGCTCCATGGCCTGTGTCACAGGCAACAGTGCCTGTGTGTCCCTCCGTCTGGGGTGGCGAGACCAGAGTCACAGTGAGTGTACCCCTGGTCCAACCTCCCCCACACTTCCACCTGGGATTAGAGAGTCACCCACTTGACTTTTCTAGGCCTTAAGATCTAGGTAGCTGAGAGCTGGACCCACACCCAGCCAGAGGAAATCTCTGAACTTTGGCTGGGAAAAGTCTCTCACTGGGCCAAAGTCCCCTATGAAGAGATGGCAAAATGAATACAATCCATACCTCCGACCCAGGTAGAGCTGCCCACCTGTGAGTGTTCTATCGGTCCCTATCCCAGGCTGACTGTCCCCCTGACTGTGCCCCCAGTCCCTCCCCCAGATAATCCCTGTCCAGTCTCTGAGTCCCCATCCAGCTGCCCCATGAGCTCAGTGCTGTCTGAGAGCTTGCACGAGGAAGGGACCCAGCAACCAGGGGTCCAGTTCTTCAGTCAGGTTCCTCTTTTTTTTTTTTTTTTTTAGGATTTTATTTATTTATTTGACAGACAGAGATCACAAGTAGGCAGAGAGAGAGGAAGGGAAGCAGGCTCCCCCTGGGATCATGACCTGAGCCGAAGGCAGAGGCTTTAACCCACTGAGCCACCCAGACGCCCCCAAGTTCCTCTCTAGAGTGGTTCCCCTCCAAAGGAAGGAAAGTACTGGGGCTAAGATTACCCCTGGGCTTCCAGCCTGGGTGTCCAGGCTACAGACAAATTCAGGCTTGATCTGGGAAAGCCAGGGGATGGCTCTCACATGGAAAGGCAAGCCCCCACCTGAAGTGGGCAGATTTCCCCTCCAGAGCTCCTACCACCAGGCTCTTTCTCCCTTAGGGAAAGCTCTCACCCAACAGGAAAGTTTGCACCAGCCAGGTATGTTCTGTGTTGGAGAATCTCTTATCCACCCAGAGGCTCCCACTTATAGGGGAGAGGGGAGGGAAGACCTCCCTTGGGAATAGGCGATCTGTGGGGAGGGAGTTCTCATTCGAGGAAGCACATACTGGGAGGGAAGCTTTCTCCGGAAAGTTTTCACCTGCCAGGAAAACCAGGAAAGTTCTCATCCTCAGGATACTCTTGCCTAAGGGAAGCTCTTACCTGGCTGAGGCTCCCACCTGGAAGGGTTGAAAGCTCTCACCTGGGAATAGATCCCGGCGCAGGAGTCTTCCCTGAGGGGGAACTCTCCCCTGCTGGGAAAGTTTTCAGGAAAGTGCTGTTCTGTGGGCTCTGACCTAGGGTTAGGATCCCACCCGAGGGGTAGGAACTCGACTGGGAAGAACTTCTAACCTGGATGTCCCGGCTGGAGAAGGGAGTGGAGTAGGTGCAAGGCAGATCCTCAGAGACTCTTGGCACCGCCGTCTCACAGAGATCTTTGAGTACCCTTGCCCCTCCTCCGTGAATCACTCAAGTCTTCTTAAAGGGCTCCCCCATTCCCCAGGCCACGTGCTTGGAGGGCGGGGTCTCGATCCTGGGCCCCTCCCCCTGGAAGGGCACCTCGGGCCCCTCAGTCCCGCTCAATGGTACAGCTGGGTGGGCTCGGGCCACCGCTATGGGCTCCTTGCGGCGACCTCCGGGCCTCAACGCGCCCAGCGGCTCACCTCCAGGGCCGGGTCTCCTCCACACTCAGCCGCCCTCCGCGGCCCGAGGCTAGCCCGCGGGCGGCGCTCGAGCGGCTTCCCGCACACCCCTCCGGGGCGGGGGGGGGGGGTCGCGCGGGCTCCCGCCCCCATCCCCCGCTTCATGGGGCAGCCGCCTGCAGAAAATCCGCAGAGCTGCAAACCAGGGCGTCGCAGGGGGAGGATGCCTGCTCCGGACTTAGCGGTACCCCTTCCGAGCTAACCCAAGCCGGCGCCCGCACCGGGGCCACGCGGAAGCTCGCGGACACGGACGCGGGGAACCGGAACTGTGCCCTGCACTCACCCTGAAGCTTCAGACTGCCCCATGGCCAGCAGGCTGCCAGCCTGGTGGCGGCTGCTCCCAGAGGCCGGGCGGGAGGCCGCTACAGTTCGGGAGGGGAGACCCGGACTTACGGCGTGCTCCGAGGGGCCAATCCCTGGACAGGACGAGGCAGGGTTGGGCCAATCAGCGTGCTCGGACGGGGCCTGAGGGACGCTGTTTGGGCGGTGCGAGCCTCGTGGGGGGGGGGGGGGGGCGCGTAAGATTTAACCCCTTCCTACGCTGCGGCCTGGTTTCCGCTACCCCTCTTGGCTCGCCTAGTCCTCCTCCCTGAGCCGGGTGGAACTTAGCTGGGACTAAGGATCCGCGCTTGGCTGGTGGAAGCAACGGCCCCGGGTACCTGAATATGACAAGGCGGATACCAAGTCCTGGCTTCTCTCGGAGGGTCCCCGCGGGATGGGGAGGGAAAGCCCCCAGATGGGCTGCGTGGGGACGCTGCTGGTAACCACAGCCTTAGCTCTTCTTAGGGTATCCCGGTCCCTGGGGCCTCTTCTGCCTCCCACTCAGGGCGTCCCCTTAAGACCAGGCAATGTCTGACACTGAAGGTGCTCAAGGCCTCCCTTCAACTCTGTACATCCAGACCTGAAGTGAGGCAGCCAGAGGTTTCCCTCCAGCACACCTGGCATCTCGCCCGGAAGGCTTGCGGGGAAGGAAGGCGATGTCCTGGCCAGCTGCAAGTCTGAGAGGCTAGTAGGGGTCAATGCTGTTAACGGGCTCAGGGATTGGCAAGGGCAGTTCCTAGAGGTGGTGGAGCCCTGGCCAGGGCAAATGCCAGGTTAGAATTGCAGGCCCTGAAGATCAAGTCATAGTGCTGACACCTTGAGGAGAGAGGGTTTCCATGTTGCCTTACTTCCAGCACCTTTGCTCATACTTCAGGCCCCTGATCACACGGCAGCGGTCCAGAACTCAGGGTGAAAGAGATAGGAACCTGTTCCAAATGTCAGATGAAATTAGCTAAAAATAGCTGAATATTGAGAGGGGGCAGCGCTCAGATTTCTCCCAAAGGTCAGGTTGGTTTGAATAATTCATAACCACCCTTCTACCCCACACACCCCACTCCCACCCCCAAACAGAAAGAGGCAATAACCATTTTCTATAGAAGTTTAATCCCAAAACAGAGCGCGGCTTCACGGAACAATTTACACAGACAGGGAAAGGGGCCAGTGGGCTGGAGCAGGGGAACCCGGGAGAGGGGCATCTATAGAAGCTAGGACATAGCAAGGACAACCCCTTCTCCCCACAGTGGGCCCCTCAACCCTTCAAGGGCTGGGGTCATTCTGGGTAAGGAGAGCTGGAGTCCTGGCTGGCAGGATTTGGCACCAGTCAGCAAAGTAGAACTTTTAATCTCCTTGGAAACTGCCTCCCAGGAGTATGTGTGGGGGAAGGGGGGTGTCTGCACAGACCCCCTACAACCCTGCACAACCCATGGTTCCTAGCTATTAAAGGAGCCTACTCTGGAGGCCTTCTGGGTCTGCTGTTCAACAGGGGGCTCAGGGCTGACCTTTGGCCTGGGAGAGCTAGGAGCTAGAAACCCCTCAAGATGGCCAGGTCCAGGGTCCTCCAGCCCCTCTCCTGCCCTCTCAATCTTTTACTTGTAAACAAGGGGGGGGACACCACATTTTCAACTGTAAGCAAAGTGTAAAAATTTGAAGTTTTAAGTTGTAAACAAAGTTTTAAAATGTTTTAAATCTTGTCCTGTAAACAAAGTAACAAAATCTAAAAGTCCCCAGTTCTGGATGTCAAAGTAATAAAAGAGAGTTTTGTGAACAGGGTTCTAACAGTCATTTTTCCCTTTAGAAAGGAATAGAATAGGGTAGAACTAGCAGCCCAGGTGCCTAGGGCCAGGGAGGGTCCTGTAAACATGGGAGGCAGTGGCACCTACATTCTGTGTCTTCAACTCTCTTATTTCTGCTCCCCCTTGCTCCCCTGCCTCCCCCTACCCCTAGGAAGAAATTCTAGCACAGGGCAGTGTCAGGGAATCCAGTGGGACCACAGACAACGTTTGCCGGAAGCAGGGGCTGGCAAATGACCCCCTGGCCCACCCTCTCCAGGAATGTCTGAGTAGAGGCCTGAGCCCCTCCATGTGGGAGAAAGGGAAGCCTTGCTCTGTAAACATGACACGTGCAGCGCCCCACAGCATCAGTCCTAGGTCATAAGGCAGTAAGTGGCAGGGACTCCACATAAGAAACACACACATCCACGGGGAGGGGCAGCACGAGCAAAAGCCCCATGAGGAGGTCGGAGGACCCCTGTTTCCAAGACCAACCCCCAGTCCCTGAAGTTTGGCCCTTGGGGCATCTGAGAAAGAGCAAGGATCAATTCTGTACTTTGGGCCCTAACAATATTCAGATCAACGGGCGGGGGGCTATGTGCCCCTCCTCTCTGAATCCACCCCAGTAAGATGAGAGGAAAGAGCGTGTGATTTGCCAGGGACCCGAATGGGGCCAAACACTGCACCTCTTACCCTCTGTCCCCTTCCCCCTCCCAGCCCAGCCTCAGAACCCCGGGAGACGGAAAAGCTGAAAAATAACATAAGCATATCTCTCTGGTTACAAAGGTACAAAACGTATAAAAGTCCTCCTTTCAGGCCCCTCCCCCTGCACCTGTTACACAGGCTCACACGCTCACGGACAGAGCGAGGCGTCTCAGCACTGTGACAACAGGAGAGCAGGGTGTGGGGGTTGGGGTGGGAGGCTGCCTTGGGATCAGCCCCCGACTCCTGGAGTCTCTTCTGTTAGCTCAAATCCTCCATGGCCCTCAGCCGTTCCTAGTCCAGAAGTCTGCCCCTCAGGAGTGCCCCTCGCTTCTGGGAACTCTGTAGAGTGGAATGCAATGGTCAGAGGTGGTTGGGGAAAGAACTCAGGGGCCTCTTGGCCTCCCCCACGGCCTGGCCCCCCACCATCTCCCTCCTCCCACAACCCCATCACCTTTTCCTCTCACTCCCCAGCCCCCTTACACCCATTCTGGGGTTCTCAGACCCCTTCACCCCTTCTGCACCCTGAGACCCATCAGCAAATCCCCCTGGTCCCCTGTCGTCTCTCTAGGCACTCAGCAAGCACCTGCTGTGGACGAACACTATGTTAGCTCTTGGCAGATTTGGCCTCAAGAAACCTCCGCATCTCAGTTACTACAGACCCATTTTACAGATACAGAAACAGAGACTTGGGGAGGTCAAGAGTGACTCCAAAGCCCAAATCCCCGCACAGTTCCCCAGGAACTAACCCCCCACCAGCCTGACATCAAGGCTAGCTGTAGTTGGGCCCAAGCAATACTCCTAGCTCTCCCTCAGCCCTGAGTCCAGCACCCTTCCAGAGTCCCTGGCACAAGGCCCTAAGCTCCCTGCTCCTCCTTCCTTTCTCCTCCTCTGACTCCCCTTGGGTTCTATTGGTCTCCTGCCCCACTCCTGGATTCCCCCCCGCCCAAGCCTCCTTTCACCCTGCAGACCTCCATAGAGCCTGACCTAGCTCTTCCTCCTTCCTGAAACTCAACTCTTCTCTTGGCTTCCAAAGCCTGGCAACCCCTGGTGCCTCCCCACTCCCTCTCCAACTCCTGTGTATCCAGTGGCTTTCTGGGTATGGCTGCTGCTCCCTGCACTTCCAATGGCACATGGGCCCGAGATGCACCAGGTCCCAATGTGTGCTTCACCCCGCAGTGCCTAGAGGCACAAGGAACTTCACAATACATGGGTAAATGATTTACTTTCAAGATTAGGGCTTCAGCCTGAATGAGATGCCCCCATCCTGGCACCACTTCTGGCCCCTCCTTGTCTGTTACCACCTCCTAGGCAAAGCCTCCCAAGCCCTGATCCCTCCTTTCCCCCTTGTCCCTTTTTATACCATGTTATCTCCTCCTTCTAGGCCTTGGCTCCTGCTCGCAACCCCTCCACTAGCTCAAGCCCTTTGGAAGGCATTTCCTTCACTTCCCTAGCCCGGGAGGTGCAGGGGAGGGAGGCTGGCAGCACTCAGACACCCGGCGAGTCCCTTCTAACCACACCACCATTCCCTGCCCGAGGCCCACTGGCTGCACTGAGCCTGGGTTAGCCCACGCTGCCAACCCACACCCCCATTCTGTGGCAAAACACAGGGCAGGGTCCCCAGAGGGTGCCCTAAGCTGATGAGGGTGTGGGCAGGTGGCCACACCCTGCTTACTCTGAGTCTGGAGACAGCTCTGAGATGCTGTGGGACGTGGCAGAGCGTGGTGTGGAGGGCCCAAGCGCAGAGGCTGTGGCAGAAGGCGTGGCAGTGGTGTGAGGGCCCGAGGGCGTGCTGGAGGACTGCACAGAGGAGGAGAGAGCTGAGGAGTTGAAGGAGGCCAGGATAGAAGAAAGAATGTCCAGCTGCTCTGTGGAGGGGCCGTGGCTAGGGCCACTGGCTGGGTCCTCCCTAACTCTGAGCAGCTGTGGGGGTGGCCCGAGGCCTTCTCGTGAGGGGTGCCGGCTAGGCACATGGTCCAGCGGCTCCCCTGAGTTCGATCTCCTGGACAGAGAATCCAGGGGCCGGGATGGCAAGAGGGGGTCCCTTGAGAGTTGCCGCTGGGGAGACAGGGGCAGAGGCGGGGGCTGTGGGTCAAGGTCCCGGGCACTGTGGGGCAGGGGCAATGTGTTCAACCACTCGCGGGGTGCCCCTGGGTCCAGAGCATCTCGTGACCCGAAGCGGCCGGCCCTGACCCCAGGGTAGTCCCTGGGTGGCTGCCTCCGTGGGAGGGTACTGCCCCGATCCCTGGGCTCCAGGCGTCCTGGCCCGGCATCCAGGCGTTCCTGGGAACCCGGCCGACTCAGGGGACGAAGAATGGGGGCAGGGGCGTCCTCCAGTCGCTCACGGCTCAGCTGCCGCCGGAGGAGCAGGTCCAGCTGTTCTCGAGAGGAGTAGCGGCTGGCTGGCTGTGAAAGGCTGCCTGTGGCCCCTCCAGCATAGACGCGACCATAGGAGGCGGCTGGCACAGCGCGGT